TTTAACAGCTCTCGGCTCTAGTTCAGAAGGCAAAGTAATCCAGAATGAGCCATACATACTAGTTTGCCAGAGGCACACAACTGGACAAGAATATCAAGAGAAGAATTGTTTTATGAGAACGACATAAATGGTTCTGGTTTAAGGAAAGGGAAAAAATAATAAAAATTCAATGAACCACAAACTTAACTAAACAGCACTGAAACCTGAGAAAGCTCTGCATTCTAATTACTTACAAAGTCCTCATTGGTTATGCCATAATAGTTTTCCAACAGTTTTCATAAATCATACAATGATGACACATATCATACAGTATCGTATCACATTATTTTTAACTATTTTAACTGCCATAATATCGACAATACCATTACAGAGGAAGCCTCATTAAAAGAGAAGAGGAGGAAACATCTGCTAAGACAGCCACTTCTCTTGCAATAATCAAGTTTTCTTGGCAGAATAATAGGAATGATCATAAAATGCACCAGCTGTTAACCAGTGTCTACTTTTTCTCTACTCCTAGACAACTGATTATCTGGAAATACTACTCATGATGCCAATATGAAAAACTTGTCTTGTGACATCTAAAGATATTTCGGATATTTTGGACTACCTTCTAGTTAGCTGTGCGCTGACAGAACTTTTCTCAAATGCTGAGAGCCATTTGCTGTTTTTAGAATATCATGGGTTATGAATAGTCAGAGAGGAAGATGGATCACAAAATATATTCATGTGCTATTTCACTCAGGGTCTTATAAATATTGCTTTGACATTTTCTAAAGGAGTTTAAAATATATTTAAGTAATGTTAGTTCTAAAGATGGGTTTGAGAGTTTAGAAATTACAGTTTAAGTTTTAACGGCAAAAATGTCATATTGTGAATAAATTTAAAAGCTCAACATTAGTTCTAAGTGTACTAATCTGCAAACTTTATTTGGAAAATAAACACAGCTTTACAAGTTTAATAATGTGAATTAGATTTAAAAGACAAAATCAACAACTACAAAGCTCACTTCCAAACTGAATGAAAAATAATCAAGTCACATAACTTTTTCCTAAAATCAAGTCTTTAATTGAATTAGCTCTATATATGATCAGAGACACTACCTTCAAAGAATAAAATTTTCTAAAGTTCAATAAAATATCAAATTTTAAACAAACTACCTCATGTACCTTATCCTTGAGGCTCAAGTGGATGCACATGTATACACGTATGGGATGGTTAAGGCATACATACAGGCAAGTGGCCAAAAGGTGAGTGTGAGAAGAGGCAGAAGGAAGACTCATTCTATTGGGGAATGAATGTTAATCTAGAGGTTCAATAAAATAATAAGTATCTTTAAGCTATTTGAAATATTTCAAAAAGCTAAATGGAAATCACTCTTTCACGTGAATTTAGTTTTGGTCTTTTTATTTTTAACTGTCATTATATCACTTAAGTGTAGTACTTCAAAAAAATTCATTAACTCAATAAACTGTTGAGCATCTAGTATTATATGTCAGTCATTGCAGCAGACCCTGTGAACTCAATAAAGTCTCCCACTCAAAAGGAATTCATTATCTACTGGAGGAAGTAAGGGGGAAGAGGTAATCACAAGTATAAAGTTATAGCAACACTTAAGAGGAGCAACTTAATGGAGACTAGGAGGTCATGGAAGGTTTCTGAGAGGGGAGATATCAAACTTAAGTCCCAGGGATAAGTAAAAATCAGGCAGGAAAAAAAGGGGGGTGGAGGTGGCGGGAAGGGAAGCAGAAGAATGAAGAAAGTGTTCTAAGTACAAGCAGCAATATATTAGAAGCTTGGAGGTGAAAAAGAGCAGACAGGATGTTTTCTATAAATCAATATGGGGAGAGAAAAGGGGGTGGATGGAAGAGCACAAGGTCAAGTTCAACAGCGAAACACTGAAGGGTTTTAAGCAGGAAAAAGATGACTGGATACAATATGGAAAAAAGGGTTGAGGTAGAGCAGAAAAGCCAAAGTAAAGTGAGTTCTCAAGAAGTTATTTAAGAAATAAGCAGTGAGACGTTTGTGGAAAAGCCGCTGAAACTAGCAGGGCCTTTCACTGAGATAAGGGAACATGGAGCAGATTCAGAGTGGAAAAGATAATGAGTGGAAATATTTCGTTTGAAGCACCTATAATAATCGGCAATTCCAATTAGTCTAAGCATCAAAAAAATTCAAGAAAGAATGAATTAACTATTATTTAACAAATGTAGCTAATATATTATTTCAAAATATGAGTTCTAAGTGGGAATTAAAAGACATAGGCTTTGAGATGCAAGTTCTGGAGCCACTTAATAGAACAGATTTCCTTCATTAAACTACCACAAGAAGCAAGTTAGCTAATCTAAAAAGCTAACAGCAGACTGACATCATATCACATTTTTTAAAATCAGATTTCCTAAGTAGAATACTACCAGCAAGCAATCCAGCATAATCATTTTTGTCTTTTCATTTTTTAATTGTTCTTATCCCTTCTATCCTCTCAAGATTTCCTTTCTGCCATGATTTCATTTTAGCTTTTTAGTAATTCTTTCAATTACACCTTTAACACTGTAACCAGTGATCTTATTAACTACAATATCATACATTTCTAAACACGTTTACTGTATGCTACACACGATAGTAAAAGTTTTATGTATATTATCTCATTTAATTCTCACAGCTGTGAGTCACTGTGGTATATTATTAACCTCATTTTAAAGAAAAAAAATTGAAGCTGAATGATAAAGAAACTTGCCCCGAGTGAAATAGTTACATGTGGTTCTGCCAGACTCCACAGTCCATGTCCTTAACCACACACACACTGACTGCAATATTCACAAATCCCAAGTTTGACTACTTCATCCACTGACTTTAAAATATAAACCTATTTAAAAAAATGTTTAAATACAACTGAAATTAGTTTTAAAATGTATACTACTTTATCTCTTTCTCACACATTTTGTAAAAAGACTGAAAAGTCAGAAAGGGCCACATAAACCAGAGACTTCATCAGCATGAGACCAGAAGAACTAGATGGTGCCTGGCTACCACCCATGACCGCCCTGACAGGGAACACAACACAGTCCCCGACAAAGCAGCAGAAAGATGGGGTGCAGAACTCAAATTCTAGTAAGAAGATCGACTTAATGGTCTGACTGAGACTTGAGGTACCCTGGAAAGCATGGGCCCTGGTTTCTCTATCAGCCCAGATCTCAAACAATTTCCGAGGCCAACTCTCCAGACAGGGATTGGATTGGACTGTGGGACATAAAGTGATACTCGTGAAGAATGTGCCTCTTAGTCAAGTAGATACAAGAGACCTAAGGGGCAGCTTCTGTCCAGAGGTGAGATGGAAAGGCAGAGAGGGTTAGGAGCTGGTTGAATGGACATGGGGAATCAGGAGCAGAAAGGAGGAGTGTACT